CATCTCTGTTCTGGGCTAGGGTGTGTGGGTGGGAGCCTGGGGGAGAGGGACTGCTACAGAGATGGCAGAGGGATGGCAGCATGAGCCAAATTCATGCCCTGACAGTTCTTGCTGGTCCTTACCACCTGGCCTGGGACAGCACCTTCAGGAGGAGCTGAGGCCAGGTCACTGGTCCATCTGGCTCTGGGGCACTTGCTGTGAGTGATGCTTGTACCGGGACAGGAATGGGCAGAAATGTGTGCTTGCTCCCAGCCTTTCCCTGGAGCTGACGGCCCTTGGGGGATCTGGAGGGTACAGTGAGGGTGGGGGAGACAGCAGGGTTCCACACCTGTGCCCGGTGCTGGCTGGTGGGTGAGGGCCCTGTTACCCTGTACTCTGGCTGTGACCCCCGGAGGGCATTGGGCAGGAGGCAGCAGCACTCTGGCCTCTGCTCCCAAGTTCCCAGTTGCATGCTTTTGAGATGCTGCTGGTGGTGTGTCTCTCATCTCCACTGGTGAAATGTAAAAGGACATGCTGATTAGAGAGCGTTTTCTTAGAGCTTCCGAAAATGCCTGTAACCTGCTACATGTATTGTCTTGTGTCAGGAAGAATGATCTGTAATTCACAGAATGAATTTCCACAGATCAGACTTTGCTTTCACAGAAGTAAGGCAGACCTCCTTTTAGGACCAATTATAAAATGCTGCTACACCCTCCGCCCTCCCTCGGACATTCCAGCAGAGGCGAGTGTCTGGTGTGCTTACCACTGACAGATGTGCAGGCAACTTGTTTTCTTTTAAATTAAAACAGTGGGGCCCTGGTCCTGGCCTGTTTGGCTCAGTTGGTTGGGCACTGTCCCATGCACCAAAAGGTTGCTTGCTGGTCTGACTCCAGATCAAGGCACATGCCTGGGTTGTGAGCTCGATCCTCAGTAGGGTGTGTGCAAAAGGCAGCCCATAGATGTTTTGCTCTCACAGTGATGTTTCCCTTTCTCTAAAAATCAATAAAAATCTTAAAAAAAACACACACACAAATAAACAAACAAGCAAAAAAACACCCAAAACCTTTAAAAAGGGGGTGAGGGCTCTGGCCCGTGTGGCTCAGTTGGTTGGAGAGTTATCCCGTACACCAGAAGGTGGGGGACTTGATTCCAGGTCAGGACACATATCCAAATTTTGTATTTGATCCTGAGTCAGGGCATGCATGGGAGGCAACAAATCAATCTCTCTCTCTCTCTCTCTCTCTCTCTCTCTCTCTCTCTCAAAAATCAAATAAAATCAGAACACATACAATAAGACAGAGCTTATGATCCCCTGAGGCTGTGGGCTGCCAGGAAGGTGAGGCTGTCTGTGGGCACTGGTGCTGGGTCCCCCTCTCTCTGCTCCGGGACCCTGAGGGTCCCAAAGGGGGCTGAGTCATACCCACCATCTCTGCCTTTCCAGTCAGCCAGGCCAACTGCTCGCCCCTTCACCTCCCCGGCTTGGAAGGAATCCCCCCGAACTGCAATGTCCTCAGGGTTTAGCTCGGTTTATTTTGAGGGTGGTTCCTGGGTTTTCTCTATTTTCAAGACCACGGGAGTGGACTTGACTAAGCCCTTTCTAGCCAGACCCTGGGCCAGGGTTTTCCTCCTTCTGTGGACTCAGCGTGATTTTCTGGTGGGATGACCCCTGAGACCTTTCATGCCAAAGAATAGCTGCATTGGGCCTCACATTTGAGTTTATCAGGGCCAGCCATCTGGGCTCACAGTGACTGTCTTCTAACATGTGTGGGGGGTTACTGCAGTCAGGTCAGGGGCAGCAATGCATCCTGAGAGTTTGAGAAATTTGGCCTAGTCTGCTCTCCTCTCTCGTCCTACTCTGGTCAAGTCTGCCTGTGCTTCAGCAGGGACTGTGCCAGCTCCAGAGACCCTGGGACACTCCTGGGCTCACGCTCCAACTCTAAAGCCTGGACTCTGGCACAGCCTTTACCTGGAGCCAACAGCAAACATTTGCCCAAGATTTCCTCGAAAAGAAGTTACTTGAGGAACCATACAAAAGTCAGAGGGCAAAATGGCGGGAGAGGTGTGTGCGCCGGTTCACACTTTGCGGAGTGCTCTGATGGCTGGCTGCCGTCTCTGCACCAGACCCCCGTGAAACCTTCAGTTTGTCCTGTAGTTCATGAGCGCTCACAGCGAAGTCACTACGGGTGTGCAGGGTTTCCACAACCTCAGAGAGTGACAACCGGAGGGAAGGAAATGTGTGCACGTGCTACCCAAGCCCCCGAATCTCAGAAAATGGGAGGATGGAGATCCACAGCCAGCCACCCAGGAGGGGTGTGACCTAACGGGCTGGAGCTCTGCCCATTAAAGGATCTAAACCCCCTGGAGCACTTAAGTCCGATCTGCTGTGTTCTTTTAACACTTTTTCTCAAACACAAAATAAAGCCCCAATGCCCTGGCCAGGAGATTCTGTTGGTTGGAGTGTTGTCACATACACCAAAAAGTTGCAGGTTGTTTCCTGATCAGGGCACATATCTAGGGGTGTGGGAGGCAAAGCGATCGATGTTTCTGTTTCCCATTGATGTCTCTCTCTCTTTCTCCCTTTCCTCTCTCTAAAAGTCAATAAAAACACCCTCAGGTGAAGATTTAAAAAATAAGGCTCCAGCATGTTCTCCAAAGGCTCTGTTCATGGGGATCCCACTTCCCATCTTGAAGGGACTGCCTTGCACCCCAACCCTGGAGGCGAAGGGCAGTGTGGGCAGCTTGAGACATCCGGCCATCGGGCACCCAGGATGTCCTGAGCTGGGCCAGAGGAGCAGAGCAAGGCCAGCGGGCAGCAGGACGTCAGGATAACTCACGAGGGGCATTGAAGGGCCTGCCCACCAGTGTTTTCAATACAGCCACCTGTCACTTGGCAACAGGGTACTTTCACCTGGACTTATTTCAGAGCGACAGAAAGTTGAAGAGTGTGAGGACACTCACATGCTGGCAGCTCCACACTGCCCTTCCCAGCTGCTCCTCCCCTCCCCATCCTGTGGGTCTTTTAGTCCCTTCGGTCTGGCAAGTCTGTGCTTTTTTGTTTGTGTATTCTCAGGTGACAATGACGTATTTCAGGATCCAGGACATTGTTTTGCTGAGCCCCAGAACCAGTTAGGTCCTCTGGGCAGGCAGTTTGCCCTGCCCTGTTCTTCTAAGAGGGAGATGTGTCCCCAGGGCCAAAACAGGGCTTCTGAGCAGGAGGAGGGGCAGGGAAGCCGGCCACAGGGGTGGGGCCTAGGCTGGAGCCCCCCTTGCAGTCCCCATCCAGCTGCTGGAGCCTGCAGGGGACATCTGCTCTGAGCCACTGCAGGCAGGACAGACCTAGGGTCACCAAGACCACCCTGGTCCTGGACAGTCCTCTCTCAGAGAATTCTTCCCACCTTGGCAGCCAGGAGAGTCCTGGTCCCAGCGGGCAGCCAAAGGCCGGAACGTCCTCTCCCCTCTGGGCTTTTGTCCCTGTGGTGTCCTTACATCCCACCCTACCAGGAAAGGCTCTAAAAAGTATAATGTTAGCTTTAGGTAATGGGCTTCCCTCTTCTCACCCTTTCCTTTCTCCTCTCCCTCACTTCTGCCCCTTTCCTCCCCTGCTCTCCCCTTATAGGGAGCAGCTGCTAGAGGACATCTCTGTTTGTATGGGGTGGTGGGGGGAATTGGCTTATTCAAGGGGCTTGGGGCTTCCAGGCCCCCAGAGCGTACGCCTGGGTGGTCTGAGCCCTTCCAGGCTAAGTCCGTGGAATTCCTTGAAGAGTGGTCTTGGGCCTCCTGGACCCCAGGCATCAGACTCCAGCTTCAGCCAGGAGCCTGGGACAGAAGGTGGGAACCTGGACCACCCACCTTCTTCTCTCCTTTGTCTTTCATTGGAAATGGAGTTTGTTTTTATGTCGTTTGGTTGTCATAGGTATATAATGGGGAGGGGAGAAAGCAGAACCTCCCCATTCTGCAAGAAGCTGGTGTCCACTGCCTTTGGGGCCTGCAGAAACACACACTTTTCAAACACAATCAGACCTTTCTGATTATTGTTTCAAAATGTTGTTGTAACCACCTTTGTCCATACCACCTGTATTTCTTCATCATGGGTATAAAACTGTTTGGGGTGACTCATTGCACTTAAGATGCCATAACTTTTCGGATTAACATCCTTTCGATGGACTGGATTGTTGGCCTGTTTCCATGTGTCCTCGTTGGTTAAGGAGGTGGCCCGAGGCTGTAAGACACAAGGACATGGGTACTGTGCCTACCCAGTCCTCCTGGCCTCGCCTTCCCCCGCACTGAGCTGCAAGTTAAACTACCTTTTCCTGTAGCTCCCCCCCCCCCCCCCCCACACACACACACACTGGACCAGTGGGGTGCGGGAAGGGCGGGCTCCCTGGAGCAGGCAGGGATGGGCCTGGATCCTGTCGCGGAGTTTCAGTGACTTCTGTGTACCGGATTAAGTCCTTTGTGGACCAAGACCCCGGAGCAGCCCAGCCCCCTCCTCCCCAACCTTAGCACGTTTCCGCCAGAAACGCCTTTCCAGGGTCTGGGTGAGCTCCACGCAGGCCGGCAGGGGGAGGGAGGATCAGATTCCAGCTCAGGATAGTTGGGGGGGTAGGGAACTTGTTGCTCCGAGGAACCGGACTGTGTAGGGAGCTACCACGCGGGGTGGTGGGGACTGCAGGCAAGGCCTGCTCTGCGGCGGCTGGAGTGAGACAGCGCAAAAGCAGAGAGTGACCCATCGGGGGAAGGCGACCCGGGGCGAGCAGGAGGCGCAGGCAGACCGGCTCGGGGAGCGACCTCTGTGGAAGGCGCCCCGCTCCGCCCTCGCAAACTTTTCCTGGGCCTGCGGACCGCAGGTGAGGTCACGTGGCGGGGAGGGGCGGGGCGAGGGCGGGCGGGGGGCGGGCCGGACCCGTGGACCCCGCCCCTGCGCCCCTGGGCCGGCCGCGCGTCGGCGGGCGCGGGCGGAGCGGACCGGAGCGCGGCTGGAGAGCGCGCCGGGGCCCGGAGCGCGCGGTGCCGGGAGGACCATGCCCACCAACTTCACCGTGGTGCCCGTGGAGGCGCGGGCGGACGGCGACCAGGACGAGGCGGCCGAGCTGAGCGAGGCGCCGGGCGCCCCCGAGGGCCACGAGCCCAACGGCTCGAGCCGGGGTGAGCGCGGCCGCACCTGTCCGCGGGACAAAGGCGGAGCCGGGCTGCGCGGGGCTGGGGCGGGAGGAGCGGGAGCGGGGCCGGAGGGGAGCGTGTGGGGCTGCTTCCCCGCCTTGCCTCCCCTTTCCCAGGGTCACCCCGCAGTTCCTCTCACTCCACCTCTTCCTGAGGCTCCCTCACCTCCCCCTCCAGCCTGCAGAGCCCCCGACCGACCAAGTTTAGTCGCGGGGACACAAGGCGAAGTATCCCTGCGGTGCCCAGCGCTCCCAGGGTTGTGCGCCTACCCCCCCCCCCCCCATGCTGTTCCCCCTGCTAGCTCATCTTGGGACCACGTCCATCCCTTGGTTCCCTCCCGGCTCAGGGAGCACCTTCCTTCTCACAGTCAGGGTGGGGCAATGAGGAGGTGTAGACGGTGGGATACACCCCGGGGTAACTATGGGAACGGGGGAGGGGCCTCAGTGCTGGGGCCAAGGAGGAGGGGGGGGTGCCGCCGCCGCAGGGGGTAGTTGGCCCTCTGAAGCGCCTTCCTGCTTCCTCAAGGCCTTCGCTCCCACGCGGCCGGGCTGTGGGCCGCGGGATCAGATTCGACCCTGCTGAGGTCCCAGTTGCCTGCACCCACTCGGTGGGTCATCAGCAGGTCCCCGGCCGGGCTGGGCGAGGCTCCCCAGCTGTGCTCAGCCTGAGGGTCCCCTGGCCTTCTTTGTTCTGGAGTTCCCAGGTCTGTAACACTTTCACTTTCTCTTATGGGGGCTCCCCCTGGCCTGGGTTCCTGCAGCTGATGGATGAGTTCTCCCCTCGTGAACAGCTTCATCTCTGCTTGCAGCTCCTCTCTAGAAATTGGGGGGAAGGAGAACACCAGTCTAGCACCCTCAGCTGGGCTCTCTCTGCCTGTGCCTTCCCCTCTCTCTCCCTCTGCAGCTGCAGCCTTGGGAGGAGGCTCCAGCTCCAGGCACTTAAGGAAAGAGGGTGGGGTCAGCGGAGGCCACAGGTCCTGAGTGGTCACTACTCTGGCAGGAAAGGCCAGGCCCTCCCAGGGACACCATGCGGAAGGCATGTCCTGATGGGTTGTTGCATCATCAGCCATTAGGGTCCTGCCCCCTCCCGCAGGTGTCCCCTCCCTCAGGGCGAGGCAGCGGCCTAGCTTTGCTCTGCTGGGTGTGGGGCTAGTCACAGCTGCTCCCCAGCTGCTTCCTGGCACAGGGTCTTGAGACCAGGTAGACTATGAAGGCAGAGTCTGCACGCTCAGCTTTTCACCACTGACCCGGTGGTGCTGGTTCTGAGCACCAAGGATGCGCTTCTCTGGCCACCAGCAGCCATTGTGTTCCCCAAGGAGCCCTCCACTGCCCTGTTGGATGTCTGGCTCCCTGCCTGCTGGCCCCATCTTGGGACCACACTCACTCTCCCCAGACTTGGTGGCTTGTTTTAAAACGGGGGGTCGCCGAAACCGGTTTGGCTCAGTGGTAGAGCGTCGGTCTGTGGACTGAAAGGTCCCGGGTTCGATTCTGGTCAAGGGCATGTACCTTGGTTGTGGGCACATCACCGGTGGGGGGTGTGCAAGAGGCAACCGGTCGATGTTTCTCTCTCATCGACGTTCTAGCTCTCTATCTCTCTCCCTTCCTCTCTGTAAAAAATCAATAAAATATATTTTAAAAAATAAACCGAGGGGGCATTTTCCGCCTGCTTGTCCCTCCTGCTTTCAATAGCTCTCGTGTGGTGTCCTGGGCCTAGGAGCCCAGAGCCAATGGGTGGCCCAGCTGGTTTCCAGTCCCCAGGCTCCCTTCTCTGAGTGCTTTCACTTCAAATCTGGATCCCTCAGCAGGACGGAAATTGCACCTGCCTGGGTGATCTCAGACTCAGGAGCGCCAAGTGTGGGCTTAGTGCTCATTGGTGAACCGACCCTTTAGGTTTGAGCTGAACATGTGACACTTGGCTGAGCTGGCACCGAGCTGACGTGGGACTTCCATGTTTTGTGTTCTGTGCACTTCGTGTTTCCTCAGAGAGAGGCGGCAGAGGAGGTGGTCCCTGCTGAGCGGTCACAGTGTTGTTGTCTTTTGGGGTCTCTGGCTGGGCTCTGAGTTTTAACGTCAGCGGTCAGACCACAGTCAGCACTCAGAGATGCCCTGTGAAGGTACCGGGTCACCGTGTGCCCTCTTATTGGGGAAGGTCCTGCAGGAACTCGGAACATCAGGGCTGGAGCTGCTTCCAAAGGCCCATGAGTGGGGTCTGAACTTAGGGTCCCATGCCAGGGGCCATGCCTGCCCGAACACAGAGTCACCGGCACTACTGAAGTTCCTTCCTGACTCTGGGTGATCCTCGATCCCCTGGGGAGGCACCTGGTTTTCTGGGCGGGCTTCCTGGTAGTGGTGGAACAAATTTGGGGAGATCTTGTACCCGGAACTCCCTGGGCTGTGGTGGAAATAAGAGGTGGTGCCAGCCTCACCCCTTATTACCTTGGGTCCCGTGCCTCTTATTTCCACTACAGCCCAGGGGCTCATGAGATCAGAGTCTGGTCTGTCTAGCCTGGAGGCCTCTTGACCTGTGACACTTCCCACAGCATCCTGGGCCCTCTCTGTGCTCCAGGAGTCTCCCTGGTAGCTATATCTTTGTGAAGTTTAGCCCATTTTCTGGCTACTAGAAGCCCCTGGGGCGCCCAGGCAAGTGGCAGTGTGGTCTGGTGGTGGATGCTGAGTGTTGACCTTGAATTAGTCCTGCTGCCTTGACCCCAGCTCTCTTGGCTGGCCGGTGCCGGTGCAGCACCCCAGCACTGCTTCATGGAGTCCTGGCCCCTTAAAGGAGACACTCCCCCAGGGAGTGAAAATTGGCTGGGTGCAGAGAGGGCTGGCGTGGGAAGCAGAGGCCAAGATCAATGTTAGCTTCTGCTGTGGACACATTTGAGTGCCCTTCCTGCCTCCCCGTTCCCTTCCAGCGAAGTGGGACCTTTTGTACTGGGATGACCGGGGTTCACTTTTCCTGCGGGCTGGTCCTCTCCCTGAGGGTGGACACCACACTCTGGTCCCCTGTGTGATGGGGCATTTATTCTGCATTTTATTGTGAGGGGAGACTGTTCTGGAAGTGGATAGGACAGGTTTTTATGTATCGCCGCATTCTCGATACCTTCTTAGTAGAAATACCTTACGGAGGGGAGGTGGAGAGGAAGGTGCTTTTCTGACTTCTGACCTCTGATTATGGTGATTTTTTTTAAAAATGATTTTTTTTTTGGGGGGGGGGGGAGAGAGAGAGAGAGAGAGAGAGAGAGAGAGAGAGAGAGAGAGAGAGAGAGAGAAATATCAATGTGAGAGGGAAACGTTGATCCTTTGGTTAGTTGCCTCCTGACCAGGGATTGAACCTACAACCTGGGGAAGTGCCCTGACCAGAAATCGAACCTGAAAGCCTTCAGTGTATGGAATGACACTCTAACCATACAAGCCAGGGCTGATTATGGTGGGATTTTAACTGACTTTGAGGAGTCTAATCCCCCTTTCTTGGTGGGTGAGTCCTAAGGCCATGAACAGCCTATGGGACCGTGGAGTGGACGGGCACACAAACACCCCCAAAGGAAGTTCCACCCCAGCTTCTATGGCTAATAGGGTGGGGCTGCCCTTGGAGTGTACATGGAGTCCTTTGAGAGTTCATGGGTCCTGCAAACCCCATCTCCTACCCCAGCCGAGATAGTACCCCACGTGGCATTCCCGTGGCTCTGACTCCACTTCCTCTTCCTTGCGTTGCTGTTCTGCTTTCTGGATTCCTTTCTATGACTGTCCAGTTGGTCACTCAGGGTCTCTCCTCCCACCCTCTGCGAAGGGGACCTGAGTACCCCAATGCGCTGATCCAGGCAGTCCTGGGGAACATCACCGTTACCCTGTTGTGGCTACCATTCTATGAGGCCATCAGCTGGGCCACTTCAGGGGTTGTAGGGCCTCTGAGGCCATGACCCCCGGTTAGGAGCGAGTTTTCTGCCAAGCGTGGGGCTGCTGAGATGGTGAAGGCACAACTCCAGGGGGCTGGTTGTATGTGGGGGTTCAGAGAGCAGTGCAGTTGAAAAGTGGGACAGGACAAAGCTTTCAGGTTCTGTCCTGCTGAGCAAGGGCACGGAGCAACATCCGTCCCTGGGTCTCAGGAAGGAAAGGGGTGTGCCACACTGCACAGGAAGGACAGGCAGCACGGCTGTCCCATCCATTGGGCAAACCTCACATTCAGCCTGTCTCCTTGGGACTCGCTGTAGGCGGCTTGGCTCCTGGGTGTTCTTTAGGGAGATTTCGTATTAGGTAGATAGCGGAGGTTATGAAACATGTATTTTGTACCCAATTCCATTGGTAAAGGCAAAGAAACAAAAAATAGTTGGACACACGAAATGGAGCGTGGATCTGAGTGCTGGGAGCGTGGCCTGTGTTTCTGTATCCTCTGAGCGCTCACAGGGGTTCCACATCGTCTTTAGGTGACGATAGGCCCTTTTCTTATAAATCAGGTGGAGATGTGGTTAAGGCCTCCTGCTGAGGCCGTATGTTTACATGTGTGTGCGCATGCCGCCTGCATGTGGACATTTGTGTATGTTTGTATGTGTACACATGTGGGCATGTGTGTGCGTGACTCCTCACATGGTAGATAGAGAGGGCCGTGATCGCTTGCATTGGGCCACATGGTGTGAGGGCATCTGTTCTTTCCTGCAGCTCCCCCGCAGATCAGTCCAGTCACATGGCTGGGGGTGCCAGCTCCATGTGGGCCATGCAGGCAGTGGGGACACGTCTGTGTACTGGTCTACGCCCTGGTCTGAATTGTGTTTCCAGCTTTCATGCCCTGTGAACAGTGTGGGAGCCCATCACCTCTTAGGTCCAGTTCTGTGGTCTTTTCTTCTGGAAAGTTCCTCAGACTTGATATCAGTGCTTTGCTGACATGGACATCTGAGCTGTGGACACCAGTGGCTGCTGCTGCTTGGGGCGGGGGGGGGGGGGGAGGAGGCGGTGGAGGGGGAAGAGGGTGTGCTGTGGGATTTGGCTTGAGGG